AGGCAGGTTTTGCCTGTATCGAGCCCGCCGATGATTGCGAGTGCGCAGGCTGCATGATGCTCGACGCACACATCGCAGCGGGAGGCGAGCCGTTATGAACCGACAAGAGGAGCATGATGGGCTCGACGAGGAGCAACGTCGACGCCGGCGCGTACGCAGGGACGAGAGCATCTACTTCTACGCGGTCTCGGTGGGGGCGGGTTCGGCACAAATCTCCAGCCTCGGTCCAAAGGGGTGGGGCCTCGAGCGCCAAAGCTGGGAGGTCATTCGGAGGCTTGGCTACCGTTACATGGCTGGTGCTTTCATGGCCTGGCGCCTGTCCTATGAGGAACAGCGCCGACGCCTCAAGGAGGGCGTCGCGCTCTCGCCGGTTGGCCGCAGTACCTACATCGAAGGCGGGGAGTTCTTCTTTCCAGACAGCTTCGATGAGCCCATGACCACGCCGCGCGCGATGGAACGGGCCAGTGCTGCGCGCGAGCACTTCATTGACATCGGTGAGTGGCCTTACTGGTGGGATGGAGAGGAGCTCGGAGAGCGCGTGGAGGGCTGGCGCGAGGATGCGAAGCGGCTCACGCGCGCTGGCGTCGGCCTGGAGGAGGCGCGCCGGATCGGTGCAGACGAAAACGTCATCGTCATGATGGAAGAGCCCGAGCGAGAGAGGAGGGCACCGTGACACCTGGAGAAAAAGTAAGGCTCGAGAAGTGGCACCGTCCACCAACAAACGAACCGCCCCACAAGCGCGGTGACGTGATCGAACGCGACGGCAAATTTATGGAGGTCGTGCACTGCCTTCGCGTTCCTCGGCCTCATATCAAAGACGGCCAGAAGACATACACGGTTGGCTGGCGGCTGGAACTGAAGAGTTCGGACAAATACCGCTGCGAATACTGCGGACAGCACGAGAAGGGCTATTTCACCCATCGAGGCTTCAGGCGTTGTAAGGTCTGTGGCGAGCCAGGTCAGTAAGGGAGCAACAGCGATGAAATACACCTGTCTCACACTCTTTTCTGGCCTTGGAGGCGGCGCGCTCGGTTTTCAGCGCGCGGGTTTCGAGCTCATCGGTGGCTTCGACAACAACGCCGAGGCTATCGAGGACTATCGGATGCTCACCGGGTCGCCGGGCCACTGCATCGACCTCTTCGGCGCTGGCCCGACAAAGATCCGCGAGTTGGTTGGCTCCCGCCGCCCGGACGTGATCTTCACGTCGCCACCTTGTGTTGGCTTCTCCGGCTGTTTGCCCGAGAAGAACGCGAAGAAGAAGCGTTACAAGAAGCTCAACAGCCTCGCCGAGCTCGGCATCTTTGTCGCGCTCGAAGCATGGGATGAGAAGCCGCCGGTGATCCTGCTCGAGAATGTGCCTCGCATCATGAGCCGTGGGCGTGAGTGGCTCGACGCGATCAGCGAGATGCTTCGAGGTTACGGCTACGCCGTGACCGAGAGCACCCACGATTGCGGGGAGCTCGGACAGCTCGCACAGTCGAGGCGCCGCTTCTTGCTCCTGGCCCGACACATCGAGCAGGTGCCCGAGTTCATCTACGAGCCGAGCGTGCACGAGCTGCTCGGCGTGGGTGATGTGATCGGCGAGCTTCCCATTCCCCTCCCCGTCGATGATGGCAAGGACGCTCCAGGCGGTGAGATGCACCGTCTCGACAAGCTCTCGCCGCTCAACTGGCTTCGTCTCGCGCTGATTCCGGCTGGTGGCGACTGGCGCGATCTCCCCGAAGAGGTCGCGGTTCGTCAGCGCCCAGGCCGCCACAACGGTGGGTATGGCGTCGAGGGCTGGGGTGAGCCCTGCCATTCAGTGGTTGGCTACGCCCAGGTCGCCAACACGCGCTCCTCGATCGCCGATCCGAGGCTTGGATGCTCGCCGCGCTCGAGTGTCTATGGCGTCTGTCAGTGGGATGACGCTTGCGGCACCGTCCTCGCGAGCGCACGCGTCGATAACGGATGCTTCGCGCTCGCCGATCCTCGCGTCAACACCAACCGGCGCTACGGGCTCGGTGTGTGCGGATGGGATGAGTCCATCCATGCGGTGATCGGAGAGGCGCGCGTGTGCAACACCGGGCTTTCGATTGCAGATGAACGCGAACTCGCGGCGCCGACCCACGAGCTCCTCGTCGATGATGGCGTGACCCTCGTCGACGGACCCGCGCTCGACCTCGAAGCGACCAGCGCCGAGCGGCTCGTGATCCGTGCACTCGATGGGACGTGGCACAGACCGTTGACCACGCTCGAACTCGCCGCGCTCCAGGGACTCCCGACCGAGATTGATGGTGAGTGGTTGCAGCTCGCAGGGGGAAGCAAGGCACGCTGGCGCAAGCGCATCGGCAACGCGGTCCCACCTGCCACCGCCGAAGCTATCGCTCGAACGATCTGGCGAACGCTCGAGGCGAGTCAGGCCGGGATCCTTCTGATGGGCGGCGAGCCCGTGTGGGTCGATGGAGAAGATAACGATGAGGCTGTGCTCGAGGAGGTATCGCCATGACGAAGAAGAGCGAAGCTGAAATCTGTGCGCTTTTCACCGAACAAGCCAGGGAACAAGGCTTCGAGGTTCACGGTGAAGTCAATGGCTGGGATCTTCTCCTGGTTTGGAAAGGTGACTCCATCGATGAGCACACCGATATCCCCAGGCGAGGCCTCAGCACGAAGCGGGAGCCTTCCTGGACGCTGAAGCCAGGCGATCAAATCGCCATCGAAGCCAAAGCCAAGGCAACCCCGGAAGCCTTCGGGCAGGCTATCAGGCGCCAGAGCCGCATGTTCGGTGCGGGACCTGATTTCATCGGGCTGCTCGCGCCATCATGGTCTTCTGGATACCAGCTCATCGCGATGCGTCTCGGGTTCCTGCTCTTCGATTCAGATCACTACGAAGGCAAGCGCAAGAAACGGCGCGTCGGCAGGGAGAGGGAGGCGTACACCAGCTTCGCATCGATCCGACCGAAAGAATCGATGCGCCTCGAGTTCAAGCGCAAGCTCTGGACACCCCCTGTGGTCGCGGAGTCTGTTGTTGCTGGCGCGCCGTCTCCCAGCGGTTTGACGCCGTGGAGAGTCGCCGCGCTGAAGATCTGCGCCAAGCTGCGCGAGACCGGCGAGATCACATCGAGGGACTTCAAGGATCTCAAACTCAGCATGTCTCGTTGGAAATCCGGCAACCACAAGTCGCGCTGGCTCGTCGATACAGGACGCAAGCGGGGGCGTCTTACCATCTACACCATCAATGACCCCGTGCCGCCGGACTTCCCTGACATCGGTTGGGAAACGGAGCGTGACGCCATCGCAGCTTTGGATAAGGCGAAGGTGTCGCCGTGAAACTCAAGAAGTGCCCTGGCTGTGGTTCGCTAGAGATAACCCTCAACGAGGTCATGGAAGGCCGGTGGGTCTACGAACAAGGTGAACATGGGATTGTCAGCTTGGATTCTGACATGGAGCACACCGGGAAAATCTACGCTGAGTGTCGCGAATGCGGCCACGAATGGAGGATGCGTGGGTGCCATCATTCGTACCTACTCACCCACCAGAATAGAGGAGAGTGATGGGATACAGCGTCCTCAAAGCATCGGACGAGCAAGGAGAGATATGGTTTCTCTGGTCTTCATTCTACGACAGGCCAGCGACAGGAGCTTTCACCAGGAGAGGGATGCTTGCTTACCTGCTGTGGAAGGAGAAATCCGACTCGTGGGACAGGTGGCTCGACGACGGCAGGCTTACCAGGACCGAGGTCAACACCACGTTGATGGGCATCTTCAACCGCATGAGCAACGCACGCGACGCGGACGAGGGTGGCTTCATCAACGTGAACCGATACGGCGAAGACGAGGAGGAGCTCTCGAAAGACGCGTTCCTCGCAAAGCTGCGCTCCACAGAGAACCGGTTCTCCTTCAGCGAGGACGAGATCATTTACCCCTGGGCCAAGTGGCTCGCGTTGCAGCGCTGCTTTGGCTCGCGTGAGTTCGAGGCGTGGATGCAGGAGTTGCTCGAGATGATGGGGAAAAGGGAACCATGAACCACCGCAAACCAGAAACAAAACGCGAAAGGAAGAACACCATGGAACAAGAAGCAACAGTCTCGAGCGAAGCCAAGATCTACTGCATCGATTGTGGCGAAAGATTCTGGGTGTTGGCGCGCGATCCGTTCGCAGCGCTCCAGGAGCTGCGTCGGAGCATGCGCGAAAATATGGGGCTCGACCCGAAGCAGGTGAACGACGCGTTGGAGGGTGCGGCCTGCAAGGAACTGACGACCAAAGAGGCGACGGGGGTTTTCCTCGAGGATCGCCACGGCGGGTATGAAACTCTGGCGTGTGCCGCTCGAAATGAGGAAGCGCCAGCGATTCTGGGCACCACGCTTGGGTGATTGGGGAGACCATGAAGATCGGACGATTCAAGCAACAGACCAACCCCAACACGCACGATCCGCGCGGTTTGACTGTTCGCGCCATCGTTGGGATGCACTCGACGGGATGGGGTCTCCTGGCATCGAAGCATAGCGTCGCGCTCTATATGGGGCATGCCTGCGTCGAGGTGATCTTCCACGACCAACAGGTCCTCGAAGCGCGCATCGCCGAGTACGTGAAGACGCTCAGAGCCCTCGCGGAGCGAAGAGCCAGGAGAGAAGACAAGGGATGATAACCGGATGGTTGATAGACCCTCGTAGGGCGACTCCGACGAGGACCTTGTTTCCGTGGAGGAACCTCCATCCCGACGATGAGAAGGGAAAGGCTCCGCCGGGCTACTCGCCGAAGTGGATAGTAAAGGGCCGAGTTCAACTCGCCACGTTCAAGGCGTGCGTGGTTTGCGAGGGCCTGGGTTACGGAGTTGGTGATGACTTCGATTTTTACGAGGGATGGCGTGGGGCCATGGAACTCGCGCACCGAGAGCTCGTCCTCGTTGTTTGCAAGGAGTGTTGGTCATCATGCCCGCTTTTGGGAGCGCTTTCTTTCGCGGACGGACACGGCGGGGAACTGACCATTTTCAGCACAGGACACGAGACATGAAAGGAGAGAAGTCATGACAGAACAGAAGAGATTTGGACAGATCCGCGAGAGAAACACCACCCATGAACGTGCCCTGTTCGCGGCAGGCATCGCGATCCACGAGATCGTGGCGTTGATTGGCATCGTCACGTATCGCAACGAGAGCTTTGACTTCGCGTGGAACTTCTACTGCATGAAGACCCACTCCGTCACGATGAAGTGCGTGATGCTCGACATGCAGGGCAACCAGGCAGGGATCCACGCCTATGACGAGCTCTGGGCAGCGCTCGAAGAACTGACCGTCAGGCTGCTTTTTCAACTCAGGATGGCGATCCGCGTCAAGGCGATGGCGCCGATCACCTTTGAGGAAGACCAGACTGCCGATCTCGAACCGGCCGAGGACCTGCAAAAAGCCAGGGTCTACCTCGCGCGCATCAGAGAGCCGCTCGTGAACTCGGGCAGCCTCAAATCAAAAGAAGCAGATAACCTGGAGGTCTTGCTCTCCGCGTCCATGACAGAGTGGCTCAAACGAGCTTTCGGAGAGGGCATGGCCAAGGCTCTCGTCAGGTTGAACCCAGCCGACATCGATGCGCAAGGCGTCCTCGTTTCGAAGATGCTCGAGTCGTCACTCTACGAAAGCGACGAGCAGCCCAACGTGTGCTTGAACTGACACCACCCACAGGACACGAGACATGAAAGCACTCACCATCAAGGAACCCTGGGCGTCGGCCATCGTGCATGGCACCAAGAACATCGAGAACCGCACCTGGCTACGGGAGAACATGATCGGAGAGGTCATCGCGATTCACGCCTCGAAGACGAGCGCCGACGAACTCTCTTACGAGATTTGTCGGGACATCGCGCATTGCTTCCCCGAGGGGCCACATGATCCCGCGCTCGAGGCGCCGGGGTGCATCATCGGGACGGCGAGGATCGTCTCCATCCTCAGCGAGGGCGATGAGGAGGACTGGATCGACCCCGCGCTCTGGCCATGGTTCGAGGGTCCCTATGGGTACGTGCTCGACGAGATCGAGGCGCTCGCCAAGCCGATCCCGTGCAAGGGCGCGCTGGGCTTCTGGGAGGTCGACGCCAACGTCCTGGCCGAGATGCAGGGTACGCCGGTCGCTGTGGCTGGGGAGCGTACGCGCGTCGTGTGCAAGACAGACGAAAGCTACACCGTGCGCATCACGCGCGGCACCTACAAGCACCCGAACAAGTGGGGCAACCCGCACCGGCTCGCGTCGCGCGCGCCGATCCATGAGGTCGAGTGCCTGCTCGCGCACGCCAGGCACCTGGAGTCGAGCGGATTGATCGACGAGGTGCACGAGCTGCGAGGCGAGGTCCTGGGGTGTGTCTGCGCGCCGAAGCGATGCCACGGGGACACGCTTGCGAGGTGCGCTGACGCCGAGGACCCGCGCTCGGAGCTCCAACACATCATCGACGAGCTCGAGGCCGAGCTCGCCACGCTCACTGCTGGCATCGCCACACAGGAATCACTGTTCGGGTGAACCATCAAGGCGTCACGCGAGCGAGTAACAACCAACGAACAAAACAAGGAGAACTCATGCCACAAGAAGACAACAGAGGTTGGTGCTGGAGCATCAACGACGATGAGGGTTTCCTCGATGCGGACAGCCGAGAGGAAGCGATCACCGAAGCGCTCTTCGCGCTCGTGCGTGATGGGTGGCTCGAGGAAGACACAGGTTTTCTCAAGGTGGACCTCGGGAGACAGGGAGAGCCAGCTACGCATGCCAAGTTTGCCGGCGACCTGTCCTCGATCATCGAGTCGCGCCTCCTCGATGATCCGCCTGAAGGGGCAGAGCACCCTCACACACCGGAACAAGCCAGGCGCCTCGATGAGATGATCCAGACCACGGTCGCGCAGTGGGAGAAGCAAGAGGGCATCGACCTTGGCTGGTACGATGTCGTGGAGCGCGAGACGGTCATCGCCAAGGTGTGGTGCAAGGATGGCAGGCTCGAGCACTGGGAGGAGACTTACTCCGGGACTGTGAGCGTCGACGCAGCTCACACGACTATTTGCGGCATCGACGCGCAGATCGCCGGTGGTGGCGCGGTGCTCTTTGATTGCCCGCTCCCGATCAGCGCGCTCGCCGAATTGAGCGTGGAGTATCCAGGCCATGTCTTTGATACAGGGCTCGCGCATGCGTACGGCGTGCGCTTCTTCTTCGCCTTCGAGGTCGTGGCCAACGAGCACCGCGAACAGGTCGCGCGAAAGCTCGAGCAGCGCTGGTCTGATCCCATCGAGCGTTGGCCGCGCGGTACGAGCACCGGGAAATCCTCGATGACACTCTACAAGACGTTGCGTGAGGCGCGCCGCCCGCGCGAGGTGCATATCCCGCATGACGCGGCGGATCTCTTCCGCTGCCTCGAGATGCTCGATGTGTGTGGTTTCTGGTCGAGGCGTACGATCCTCCCCGGATACCTGCCGGAGTGGCAAGGGCTGCTGACGAATCGCATGCGCGCGCTCTGGCGAGCCGGTGCCAAAGAGGCCGTCGCCCAGCTCTTCAAGGAGTGGCGCGACAGAGACAAGGAAGGCGTGGCTGCCTCCTCCTCCTGATTTTTCTTTTACCTGAATCGACTCAACACACCGAATACCACAGGAGAATTGCACCATGAGCACGGGAACAAAGATCGAATGGACGGACGAGACCTGGAACCCGACGCGCGGCTGTCGGCGCGTGTCTGAGGGATGCCGCAACTGCTACGCCGAGGTCACGGCGGCGCGTTGGTGTGGCGAGGGCATGCCATACGAAGGGGTCGCGAAAATGACCGAGAAGGGAGCTCGCTGGACAGGGGAGGGGATGTTCGTGGCGTCGGCGCTCGATGATCCGCTTCGCTGGACGCGCCCGAGGCTCATTTTCGTGAACTCGATGTCGGATCTGTTCTTCGACGCTTTTAGCTTCGAGCAGATCGCGGCCATCTTCGGCGTCATGGCAGGCGCCACGAAACACACCTTCCAGGTCCTCACGAAGCGACCGTCGCGCGCCAGGGAGTTCTTCGATTGGCTCGCGGCGGAGTGCTACGAGGGCTTCAAGGAGGTGCGCACCACACAAGGTGTGCTCGAGCTCCACGCCAACGCGATGCTCGAAGAGGCCGGGAGCAAGAAGCGCGTCGAACTCGAGGCTGTGTCCTGGCCAATCCCCAACGTCTGGCTCGGGGTATCCGCCGAGAATCAGGACACCGCGACCTCGCGCATCCCTGTCCTCCTCGAGCTCGAAGCGGCGGCGCGGTTTGTCTCGGCGGAGCCCTTGCTCGGTCCCATCACCTTCGACGAGCTGATACTCGAAGACGAGACCATCCTCGATGCGGCTCGCGGCGTGCGGCACTGGGAGAGCGGCGCGAAGCAGCGCGTGGACGCTCTGGACTGGATCATCGTCGGCGGGGAGAGCGGCCACGGGGCGCGCGCCATGGATCTGTCCTGGGTCGAGAGCATCGTGGACCAGCTCGAGGACACCGAGGTCGCGTTGTTCGTGAAGCAGATGGGCGGTGTCTGGGCCAAGGCTTCAGACACCTCGTCCTCGAAGGGCGGGGACATGGAGGACTGGCCCGCGCATCTGCGAGTGCGCCAGTTCCCAGGAGAAGAGAAAGAAGAAGAGGGGGAGGAGGCAAGCGAGGTCTCGGGAGCACAGGACTATGGCCCAAGCGAAGAGACGCTCGAGGCACTCCAAGACGAGATGATTCGCGCGCGCAACAAGACGCCCACCAACTACATGCTCCTCGAAGCGCTCCAGGAAGAGGTCGGCGAGCTCGCCACGGATATCCTCGGCAAGAAGGATACGTTCCGCGCCGAGGCGCTCCAGGTCGCCTGTGTCGCCTTGAGGATCTACGAGGAGGGGTGCAGCCCGCCGCTCAAGGGAGACAAGGGGCTCTACGCCATCATGGAGCTTATCGGGAGGCTCGCGCAGTTCTCCGAGGATTCGGGGGAGCAACACGAGGACTTCGAGATCCTCTACGACATCATCAAGGCTCGCGTGGACTACCGCTGGGGTCCCGATTTTCAGGGCGGCGCGTACGATCTACACGAACAAACAAATCGAATCGACATCTCAGAATCATGAACACGACACACCAGAACCCAGGGCTGCGACTTCGCACAAGCCACCAGGAGCGCGTTGCGTATGCCTGCGCGAACCAGGCGTTCGCGGCTCCGACTCGGCGCGCCAGGGCGTGGCGCTGGCTCGTGACGAGCTGGCATCGCGTCACATCAGCGCTCGCCAGGCTGTGGCGCTGAACAAGAACCACCACAACCCGAACAGAGGACAAAAGACATGACGTTTGAACGAATCACCAGGATGCGCTGCAACACACCGGGCTGCTCACGTTACAGGGACCTCACCGAGCCGGCCTGTGGTCGCGCCCGCGATAAGGTCAAGGCCCTGGGCTGGAGCTTCAAGGAGCGGGGAGCCGAGACGCTCGACTTCTGCTCGGTGTGCACTGCCGAGGAGGCGAAGCGCAAGGCGCAAGAAGAGGCCGAGAAGGAAGCAAAGAAAGCCAGGGAGGCCACGAAGTGAAGTGCCGGACTCGAAAGGCGCGGCGCGAGTGCTTCGGCCACGCCGGGCTCACCGTGCATATCTGGCCAAAGGGCTGGACGGGGCGCTGGGGCTGGCAGGTGTCCTGTGGGGAGGCGCTGCTCGATGCCGGCGAGCGTTTCAGCAGAGACGAGGCCACGGCCCGCGCCAGGGAGGTCGCCGAGCAGATCGACCGGTTTACCTCGGGACAAAACGTAGCGGATCCAGGGGATCGGCGAGGGTGAGGGATGAGCAAGGACGTCATCGTCGGGATCACGGGGTCACGCTACGGCATGAACGAGGCGCAGGCCGCGGCACTGGCCGAGCGCTTTGACAAGCTCGCAGAGGGCCTGCGCACCGGGCGTATCGCCTCGGTGACGGTGCTCCACGGCGACTGTTATGGCGTCGACGAGGAGGCCGACGCCATGGCGATCGCGCGGGGTTTCGCGCGCGCCTGCCACCCCGGAAACATCACGGGATGGCGCGCGCATACCGGCGCCGAGGAGTGGAGCGAGCCCGCACACCCCTGGGTCAGGAACCCGCGCATCGTCAAGGACTGCGGCTGGCTTATCGCTATGCCGTGTCCCGAGTCCAGGGGGACCTGGATGACGTGGAATTTTGCGACAGACATGAACAGAAAACGCACGCTCCTGCACTACAGGAATCCGCCATGGAATTCGTGGGAGCACGCACAGAAAGAGAGTGAGCGATGAGCAAGGGAAAGTGGGTCTCCGTCAAGGGCGCGACCGGAATCAAGAAGAACACCAGCGATGGAAGGTATCAGATCAGAACAGCGGTGCGTGTCGGGGACAAGCAACACCCCCAGATGATCGTGCTGGAGCCCGGGTATTCGCTCGATGAAGCCGAGGCCATCAGGGAGATGATGAAGGATGCGCTGCGCAAGGGAGAGAAGCTCGACAAGGAGACGTTGGAACCGCCGGGATTCCAGAAGGTGATCCGGCTCCAGCATGGCTCCAGCGATGATGACTTCGAGGAACTCTACGCCGAGCTCGCTGCGGCCGAGGCACGCATCGAAGAGCTCGAAGAGCAGGTCGCCGCGGCGCTCAGTGGTGAATCCGAAGCCGTGAGCGCTGCGGACTGGATGCGGCGCGCCAAGGACGCAGAGGAGAGGCTCGAAGAGGCGTCCAACTTCGAGAAGCAGGCGCTGGAGCACAAGGCGCGCGCCGATGTCGCCGAGAAGAAGCTCGCCGGATTCCAGGCCGAGATGGATGGGATCCGCCAGCACTGCTCGGAGATGGAAGGTGTAATCGAGCGCTTCGTTGAAGAAGAAGAGGCGACGAACGGGTTGTGTTTGGCAAGCAAGAGGCGCTTGCTCAAAGCCTGTGAAGAATGGGGCATCGAGGATCTTGAAGACCTCGAGGATCTTGCGGATCTTACCGACAAGGTGTGCGCCGAGTACACGAACCTCTACGCCGAGCAAACCGTCACGCTTCGAGCGTGCGAGGAGGCGTTGCGCGAGCAGAAGGTGTTGCCTGAATCGCTCGCGTTGGAGCTCACGAACGCCTGTGAGCGCTGGGGGTTCGAGGAACCCGGCGAGGATGTCTCGCTGGAGACTGTCGAACGCGTACTCGGGGACTATGACACGCTCTGCAAGCGGCTCGATCAGGTGAAACCGAGCACGCTCGATGTTGTCCGTGGCCTCGAGGCTGAGTGCATCGTTCTCAGGGATTGGCAAACCGAGGCATGTCGTATCTTCGCTGGTAGTCTTCAAGGCATTGGCTACGTGTTGCCAGAGTGCTTCCACGCCTACCTCGCCGAACTCTGCGCCTACCTCGTCACGCTCGATGAACCTATCCACCTCACCGGAGAGCTCAGAACGGCGACGCTCGACGAGCAAGCATCAACAGCAGAGCTCAGGGAGTGGCAGGCCGAAGCATGTCGCTTGCTCACCGGGAAAATGCACGACCAGCCGATCCAGCCAGAGAATTTCCACGCCAGCCTTGGAGAACTTTGCCTCTACACCGACGCGCTGGACGCAGGGGAGAAGAAGCACAACAAGAAGGTGGCGATGCTCGCCGAGGACCGTGACAGGCGCAGGGAGGAAGCGAAAGAAGCGCTCGAAGCCAAGGCGAGGCTCGAGGCAGAGCTCTCCGAAGCGCGCGCTGCGATCGAGCGTCTCGGGGACATCAAAGACCTGCTGTTGAGCGCGTGCGCGCAGGTCCTCGGTCCAGACAGGTTGGGAGGGATGCTCACGCTGACACCCGAGCAGCTTGCCAGGAAGATGGAGGCCGCGGTCCTCGAGGACCGCGAGATCGATGTCTTGGTTGTGGAGGGTGAGGAGGATCGCGAACGTCTGGTGCGCGAGCACGCCATCATGTTCGAGGCGCTCGAGCAAGTGATGATGTGCGAGCCCCTCGATGTCCTGGACTTCACCGGCACCGAGAAACAGCGTGCCAACGAACTCGCGTACCAGATAAGGAGCGAGGTCCTCTTGCAGAACACGAGCGATGAGCACCCGAACATGGACGGGCCACTCCTCTATGGTTTCCAGAGCGCGCGCGAACTTCCGCGTGAGCTTTCGAGACGCATCGAACAATTGGAAGCCGAGCTCCAGGAAGTACTGGGGGAGAAAGATGCCGTGGCGCGCGATCTCGGGAACGAGACGATTCGCTTCGAGCTGCTGCTCGGCAAATACAGGGAGCTCGCGTCGAAGGTATTCGAGATCCTCCCCGGTGAGGCTCCGGCTCCAGAGGAACCTCACCGCTAAGGAGTCAAAGCAGTAAGATGCTTGAGGAGTGCGACCTTCTGGAGAACTGCGTACGCGGCCGCCAAAGCTCGAAGTACCCGTTTTTGAGGCTTGGGGCCAGGGAGATGAGTCAGTCGAAAGGCATGGAGGCTGAGGCGAGGTAAGTGTCTCGACTCGGACGCGGTTAACCCTACCAGCGAGGCAGAATCATGAGTTCACCGTATCGGAGGCCCAGGACCGTGAGATCTTTCGAGGGCTTTCTTGGAAAGCGGGTTGCTGGCATCAAATACAGCCATGGCCAAGAGAAAGACGATGCGTTCGTGGAGTATGCGAAGCGACGCGCCTACCGAGATAGCTGCAAGGACCAAAAGCACATCTCGAGAGATCCAGAGCAGATCGAAGAGATCCTCGAGTTGTTTGGGAGCATGGAAGAGTTCGAGATGTCATGCGCTCAACACGATCAAGATCTCGCGTGGCTCGATATCTACGACGACCGGTGCCGCGCGTTCGGCGGCGCGGGTTGGTACTGAGGCAACCATGACGGAGGGGAGGGGATGAACGTGTACCTTGACGACAAGCGCAACCCAACAACCGATCGGGATTGGGTGGTGGTGAGGTCGATGGCAGAGTTTCAAGAGTTGGTGCTCGAGCGAGGCATCCCCGAGGCGGTAAGCTTTGACCATGACCTCGATGAAGGTCAGCCCACCGGCTACAACACCGCGCATTGGTTCGTGTGGCATTGCTGGGAGAATGGCATCGATCCGCATGGCATCGAGTGGAACTCCCACAGCGCTAATCCTCCAGGCCGCGCCAACATCGAATGGCTCTACAAGTCGTGGTGCAAGGTGTGGGATAGGCGCATGGCCACTTCCTCCACCGTTGAATCTGAGGAGGAGTGATGGCGATCACGATGGGATACGGTGGAGTGGGCAAGCTCACCGATGAGAAGTTCGCGAGAGGGTGGATCAAGTGCATCCCGAGGGTCGCCAGTGGCGAGCACATCGGGTCGAATCTGAATCCATGGAACGAAGACGACTTCAAGCCACACGAGATCAACGAATGGTTCGTGCACGTCTACTACGACCTCGCGCTTGGAGTGCGGCGTGGGCGCGGTCCAAACGGCGCGTGGTGCGCAGTGATCTGTCCGTGCTCCAGGCTGACCGAGGAGCAACCGCCGGCGGAGATCGCGATGCGCGTGGCTGACCTCTTCGGCCTCGCCGGTGACTGGATGCCGAGCGGGATCTCGTACGAAGGGCTCCTGCACTACAAGATCCAGAATGCCTTGGAGGTGGTGGAGGCGAGGTTCGCGGAACTCCAAGCCAAGGAAGGGCGATGACGATTCAGTACGATAACCCGATGATCCCGTTCGACGAAGAGAAGCTGGCCAAAGGGTGGACAAAAGAAGCGCCCAAGGATTATGAGGGCTCCAACCTTACCTTTTTCCGCGAGCATGAGTGGTACAGCAACCGTGAGCTCGATGTATCCCTTGGCGCAGAGAAGGCCAACGAAGATGGGGGTTGGATTATGCGTTGGTCGAATGCGCCTGAACCGATCGCTTCAACGCTCGCGCTCCAAGTCCTCGAACTGTTTGGTTTTCGTGGGTGGATAGCAGAACGGTTTCCAAGCGGAATGATTGCCTTTTGGGCGTCGAGCCACGCACCAAGCGAATTCGGTTGTGAGATCGCCGAGAACGCTTTCAACACCTTCCCGCCTGACCATGCGAAGGAGGAGCGATGAGTTTTGGTGACGTGCGCGCCGCTGCGCAGGAGTGGAAGAGGGGCACCTTCTCGCCGCGCGTGCTGGCAAAGATGGTCCGCGCCATGGGTAAGATTGGAATGCTTACGCCACAGGAGTATGAGCCGATGGTAGCCCACATCGCACAGGTGATTGGATGGAGTGAGATGGATGTGTGGGGCGCGATAAAAATCGCTGGGGAGCATGACTTCACCAGCAAGGCTATCAAGATCAATGAAGTCCGAGTGCTCGCGGATGGTGTGTATGTGCTGAATCACACGCGCGCATGCGAACTTCATCTATTGCTCGCGTGGTGCGCACGGGAATCAGGCAACTATTACCTCACCACCTGGCTTGCAGAGGACGAGCAGGGCAACTGTTGTTCTCCCTACCATCAACAAGCAGATGTGCGCGCGCCGCTAGGACTTGCCGAGCGAATCCCAAAGAACAAGCCTGGGTTGCCACACGGGAGCAGGCGCGCGGTCAGGCTCGGGTGCCTCCCCGATATGGAGTTCTCGGAGCGCCGTGGTGGTGAGTTGCTTCACAAGCGTCGTGTTCGGGCTGCATCGTTGATAGGCGTCTCCTGGCCCTGTTCGCACGAAGTGGTGAAGTGGGTTGAGTCGCGAACCTACTTCGACGCACACACTGAAATCCCTTGCGACCTGGCAGACACAGGCATGGTGCCGTTCCGGGTTCCGGCCAATCGAAGCAAAACACCACCTCTAAACCTGACACAACCACCCCTGACACATGGAGGGACCCTATGATTTACAGCATTGACCCCGAAGGCGCGAAGGATCTCGACGATGCGATAAGCCTCCAGCGGGATGGCGAGAGCATCGAGCTCACCACGTATATCGCGCTCCCGGCCTCGAGCTTGACGCGTGATGACAGCGCGTTCGCCGACGCGTTGGAGCAACGCGAGACGCTCTACTTCGCCAGAGGCAAGCGCTCCATGCTTCCTGACGCCCTCGAAGCCTCGCACAGCCTCTCTGATGCTCAGGAGCGCGCCGCGCTCGAGGTCAAGATGATGTTCGACGCTTCGAACGTCGCGATCTGCAAGGATGTGCGCGTGCGCGCGACCTCTGTGCGCGTCGACAAGGCGTTGACCTACGCGCAGGCGCGCGCGCTGCTAAAAGCAGGCGATACAGACATGCGCGACCTGGCGTGGTTGTCCGCGCAGCTGTTTCGCGCGCGCAACACGCATGCGCTCGCGTTATTCGATGGGGACGCCGCAGAGCACGGCCTCTACATGACCGGCGAGGGCATCATCGAGCACGCGCACCGCGCGCACATGATCGTCGCCGAAGCTATGATCCTGACAAACCGCGCGCTGGCCGAGTGGTGCAGGGCTCGCGCGCTCCCCATCATGTGGCGAAACCACCGCGCGCAGAGTGAAGACGCTGATGTCACCGAGGCGTTCGCGCTGGCGAGGGCGCGAGGCGACGCGCGCGAGATGTTCTTGCTCGCGCCAAAGCTGATGCATTGTCTCGCGCGGGCAACCTACAACAGCACCAGAGAGGAGCATTTTGGCCTCGGGCTCGATGGTTACGCGCACTTCACCTCGCCGCTTCGACGCGCCGCCGACCTCATCAACCAGGCCCAGATCCTTGCTTATCTGAACCACGCGCCGCTCCCCTTCCTTGAGGATGCACTGGCTGGCATCGAAGAGATGTGGCGAGCACCAGGGCAGCAGGAGGCAATCGACGAGAGGCGCGCGGAGAGGAGCAAGAAGCAGCACACCAGGCGCGCGAAGAAGAAGCTCGAGAGGACAGGCGTGATTTACAAGAACGCCGCGGCGTTCGAGCGCTTGACCAAGGCCATGGCGCGCGGACATCTCGAGATGGATGTCGAGGAGCTCGCCGAACAGCTCGAGCTCGCCGCGCGTCGCAGATGTGTCCCGGTCCCGGTGCTCTCCACCATCTTGCTCGAGGAGGGAGTGTCTGAACTCGTCGAGCCCGCGCTCCAGGCGTTGATTTCCACGCCATCGCTCGCCGTGTCGCTGTGGCATCACGGCCAAAATATCGAGGTGCTCGATGCGGTGCGCGTCAAAGCGAGAGCATCGGGACCCGACCACGCCGTGCGATTCAGCGCGCGCGTCGGGGACACCGTGGTGCACGGAGGCAAGAAGCGCGAAGCCGAGCAACGCGCACACGTCGTGCTGCTCGCAAAACATTGCGGGCGTGCCGACTTGTTGCCGACGAGCTGGTTCGAAGAAGAGAAACCAGGAAAAAAAGAGGTGGAGGAGGTGGCCTTGCCAAAGCTGTCAGCCACGCCGAGCTCGTCAAACGTCTCGGTGCTCAACACCTTTTGTCTCCAGGCCGGCGTCGATACGCCGGGGTACACGTACAAGAAGAACGACCTTGGCGAGTGGGTGTGCGAGGCAGAGATGGTTTATAAGGGCATCGATGTCAGCGCAGCGAGCAGCGCGAGGAGCAAGAAGCACGCGCGCGCAAAGGTCGCACACCTTCTCATCAAGGCGCTGCACCAGAGGTTTGACAATGGCAACCACACAGGAAGGGAAGATGAGGGCGATATCCAGCAAGTCATGGTGGGGTGAGTTTCGGCGGATCCTGGCCGAGCCTTGTGATAGGCGGGGTGCGCTTCTCCATGAACTCCGGGATGTCGTCCCAGACTTTGGAGAGGAGGAGAAGGCCGCGGCCCGAGCGCGTTTGCTCGAGGAGATCGACCCCTGGGAACTGACAGTGGCCGTGCTCCCGTTGATGATGACCCATGCCAAGACGCCGACACCCTGGCGGGTATATCCAGACCAGGACTCTGGCGTTGGACACGACGCGTATGCTGTGGCTGGCGTCGAGCTGTTCGAGGAGACCGATGATGCAGGCGTCTACCTCCTGATCGCGTTCTACCGCACGCTCACCTCGTTGTTCTGTGAAGCAATGGAGAACGTACGCGCGCGCGACCTCGAGCAGATACGTCGATACGCCGGGGTCGTGTGGCCTGACGAGCTCTTCAGCGGGTTCATCGAGAGGTTGCACTTCGGTGGCGTTTCCGACAGGAGCCGTTTCTTCGAGCTCAGGCGGATGCTCGTGCGCCTCGAGGGGTGTCAAAGTCTGAGCATGTTGGTGGTCCTGCTTGACACCAACCCTCTCACCCCGGAGCCAAGAGGCTCCATGGTTTGGCCAGCGATCCGATGTGTCGCGGAAGCCATCAACGAGCGGGTCTTTGCCTGGCCATGGGAGCGCGCGGTGCTCCAGGCCCGCATCGAGTTCAGGCACACCACCGACTTCGAGCAGGTCATGAACGACGTCATCGACTCATGTTGCTTGAAGGTCCAGGAGAAGAGGCGAGAGGTTTTTGTCGAATCGAAATCTCTTTGAACTGCTCTGTTTTTCAGTGAGCCAGCTGTTGTATCTCCCAGTTCGTGCTAGGATGCAAAACAACCAGACCACCAAAACAAACGTGTTATCACAAGAGGTAGATGTATGAAGGTGAAGTTTTCATTTGTGCCACCAGGAGGAGGCGAACAAGACTACACGGCAGAGGTTGATTTGCCTGCTTTGCCGAGAGAAGGCGATTATCTAGCCATCTCTTGCGTCGATTTGCCTGACCACAGGAAAGATGAAAATGACTTTGGTTGCCAGCACTCGTTTATCGTAAGGAAAGTTCGCTGGAGCCTGAAACAGCACGCAGATTCGAGCACTTCGTTTGTAGGTATATGGATTGAAGCGGAATTTGCCAGCTCCCCCTACGATTGCTCCTCGCATAAACGTTCTCTGGAGATGTACGAGTACAGAGGGCAGCATGCTAAAGAGTTTGACGCCAGCGGTTATTGATTAACCGAAGACACGCAAAGATTGTGTAGATTTGCTACGAGTCTTTGCGTGTTTGGATAAAAATAATCATTGTTTATTTAAAAAGTTTTGTCAGGCAAGCAGGTGCCTTCTTGACGAAACACCTACACTGACAGTCCTGTCTCAAACGTAAAAAAAATCCGTTTTTTGCGGGATGTATTTATTTTCCGCAGCGCTCCATCTGTAGTCGTGGACAGAGGTCAGGAAGCCATCAGCACACTCTATGAGGACATCCCCCATCTTGGTCGTGCAAAGCATAATGCCCAGATTGCCGAGCATTTTCCTGACCGAATCCCTTGGGTGTTTGAATTGGTTTTTGTAGTTTGCGGTACACACCGCTACTTTTGGCGATATGTGTTTCAATAACTCTGTTGTGATAATTCCGTGTTCTGAACCATGGTGTGGTAAAATTAAGACGTCTGTCTCTTTTATGATATAGCTGCTCATGAAAGCCTGAGCTGCTTTCTCGGACTCTACATCGCCTGGGCTGAAAACATTGAAATGTCCGCCGCGAAACAGCACCACTGTGGAGTTGTTATTTGTGCTGTTCGGGTCGATCTCTCTTGGCCAAAAAACCACATCATGGTTCGTTTCTGTTTTGGCGCCCTCTAAGCCATCTATAAACTTTGGAGAAAAGTGTGTCATGTTATAGTTTTTATAATACCAAGCCATAAGAATATCCCAAGAATCACGAGCGGCCGTCGAATTCTGTTGGTCGACGCTATATCCAGGAACTTCGATTTTTGACGGCTTCATAGTTTCAATGATTTCAGATAATTCCTCTGGCTTGCAGTGGTCAAAATCCCAGCTTGTAATATGCAATACATCGATGCCTTCTTTTTTACACCTGCTGATCTCATGCCAAACGCTACGACGATTATCGTCAGTCAACCGCGCTTCAAATAACGTAAATTTTTTGCCATCAAAATATGAGTAAGAGCTCCCTTCGTTTCCTAACTGGTAAGCTCTAAATCGAGTCGTCACTTTGGTCACCTCCTTGTTTGTTGAGTTTTCGGATTCTGTTCGTTTCGGCGGCGAGCACCTCGTTGCCATGGCGTCGCCAAGCCTTGTTTGCCCAGACCACGCAGACGGCGAGCTCGAGCAGGATTATTGCCAAGCACCAGTAGTTCCAGTTCCAGCCGATATCGATAAAGACGACGGCGGCGGCGCTTGAAACCACAGCCGTCAGAAACGCAAGCGTGAAGGAGTCTCTGGCGAGGAGCGCCTCCCTGTGCCGATCCGCAACCATGACGTTCACGTCCCCAAGATCCTGTTGGATGTTTTGGTAGAGCTTGTCTTGGTCTTCTGGTTCCATAGACCATCGCTCCTGGTAGTGCTCCTCAAGCAGGGCCACATCAATACGGCTATCGTCATGGGCGTACTTGCTGAACGCTTGGTGCCCGAAGTTCGGATGCTTCTTACCTGGCGTGAGTAAATTCAGCGCAGCGTACTTGTGTTTGCGTTGGATGGAGTTGGGAAGGATGATGGTGAAGAACTCCAAAGCTGTGCTGACGCAGAAAACAACGCCCGCACCCGAGACCAGCTTGTTGACCTCAGTGGAGAGATTGGTTTCTGCTTGCCTGAAATAGGGCGCGAGCCATGCCAGGGTAGGCATCAGATGCCCTGTGAAGGCCATCAACAAAAGGATGTTGAAACCTGCGAGAAAGATGAGCTTAATGCGGTTGGCTTTCTTGTGAGATGGTTGCGGAGTTGTTGACGCTGGCGCGCTCATCGATATCTAATCCTCTGGCTGAAACAATCTGTGTCGATTAGATATCGATAGAGGCAAGGTTGTCAAAGCAACTTCGGTGTTTTCGCCCTTTTTTTGTTCAGTGTGTTCGTTCCCGTGGACGGCGCGTGCTCTCCTGACACGCGCCGTCATGATCCAGGACCTCCTCCTCTGATTTTTTACTTCCAGGCAAGAAAAGAAGAAGCCCTGACCAAACTGTTCCACCAGTTTAACCAGGACCCCTTCAGAGCGTGTAATGCCCCGCCAACTCTAAGAAAAGTTCGGGGCATTAATCCACTTGAGCCGCCTCACGAAACGACCCTGCTCATTTTAGCAGTGCTCGCTCCTGTTCTCCAGGGCAGATGAACTTCTCTCCAGGTGGGCGTGTGGTGAAAGATCATTTTGAGGCGAGAAACTTGCGAAATCCATCGAGCAGCTCTTTTCTGCGCTCGCCCGCCCCAACAAAGGTCATGTCCTCGTTTCGGGAGCATTCGGACCATGCCGTCTCGAGTTGCCCCGATTTCAGCGCCGAGACTGTGGCTGCGGCCAGCCGCGCTCTTCGCGCGGCGCGGGTATCGTTCGATTCGTACTTTTGGGAAGCCAGAGCCACCGTGCGGACATGCTCGCTGATTGGAGAGGGCGGGAGCGAATCTCGCCACGACTTATTTTTCCTGCCACCCGCGGCTCGCCTGAGCGCGTCGTGTTCCATGACTGCCTCGATGTTGTCGAGGAGGTAAAAGAAGCTCTCAGCTTCGTCTGGGAAATTCGTGAGGATGACCTCTTCGAAAAACTCTCTGGCCATCTGCGCTATGTAGTCGCGCAGATGATCGACATGTGGGGGATCCACGCCGAGATCTTTGGCAGCTTCGAGCATTCGTTCGCGTTGCTCTGCGCGAATCTCTTCGAGCGTTGCTTGCTGCGCTGGGGTCGGGTTTCCGATGTCCATAGTCGTCTCCTGTGTGGGCATTCCCGCTCACGCGGGGGTTGTCTATTCTTCCTGTTTCTCGAGCTTTAACCCGATACGCTTGCCGCACGCGCATTCGATGATAGGTGCCCCGGCCTCGACATCCTCGAAACCAACACGCCTGAGATGGATGCCTGACTCGTTGAAGTTTGCGGTGAACTCGAGACGCTCATAGGCGTACATCGATGGGGAGCTCCAGAGGCCGGCACCACACGAAGGACACTCCCACTGCGCTTCACCGTGCACCACGTTCGTATCCAGCCAGACATCCACCTCGCTCCTGGTGAGCGTCTCCATGGAGAGCGGGCGCTCGAGCATCGCGAGCAGCTCCTCTTGCGTGAGCGCCTGCTTGAGTCTTTGGAGAAGCACAGCGCGCTCCTCGGGGTTGTGTTGGTTCGATACGGCGCGGACCAGGCCCGCGAGTTCATTGTTATCCATGGCGGTCCTCGTTTGACTCGTGACGTGGAGAGTTCACTCCTGCTCCAGGCGAGCGTTCCTGGCTCTTTCTCTCGAGGCCTGGCGTTGTCGAACACCCGAGATAAAGCTGCGCGCGATCCTCTTGTGGCGCTTTTTCGAATCATTTGCGGCGCGTTCTCTGTCCGTCTCAAATGATTCGAGCGTCGCGCCCGCGGGAACACCCGATGTGCCATCGCACATCGGGCAGGGAAAGATTCGCCCCATCGAACGCACCACGCCTGGTGTCAGGTCGCACATCGGACACGGGTCCTCCCCGGGCTTGTGCTCGAGGTAACCTTCGCCCTCGCAGATGTCGCACTCGATGAGATCGCCCTCGCGATGGATATACGTGCCCTCGCCGCCACAGTTGCCGCACGCGCGGCGCGTGCTCTGCTCTCGATTCTCGTTGCTGGCCATCGTTGCTCCTCGTGTGATGTCGTCGCCACTCTCTGTAGAGTCCGACGCGTTCACTTGTTGACAGATAATTCGTGGATAAACTGCTCGCGGAACTTTTCGAGCTCGCGCTCCTCGCCGCGCCAACCCCCAAAAGTCGGTTGGTCCATCAAGGAGCGTACAGCATACGCGCTTGTGCCCTTGGGGACGCCGCCCGCTTTCCAGCGGTTGACCGTGCTTCGGTTGGTGGAGAGGATCGACGCCAGGGCGTCCTCGTTCTTGAAGCGCGCGTCACACCACTCTTCGAACTCCTTGGCATCGATCGGCGCCCCAGACCACATCCTGGGCTCCATAGGAAGCACCCACTCGAGCGCCCAGTGCGCGACGCCTTCGGAGAGGCTGTCCACGCCGCCGGGGATGCGCGGGCACCCCGCGTCGCGCAGGTAAGAAATCGTCGCTTCTCTCAGGGTGATCTGGAGCGGGATGCGGACCTGGTACTTTTCAAACCAGCCGAGGTGATGCCACTCCCCTTCGCGCGCGCCCTGAAGCGCGACGCGCCACCATCCGTGTTTCTCTCGGTGTGGGATGATCTGCACCAGGCGCTCCCCCTCGACATCCACGGGCACGAGCTGCTCGGCGTCCGTGCTGGCCTCACGCAGCGCCGAGACGATGGTGTAGGCTTCGACATCGGCGTGGACGGGGCCTGAAGCAGGTGGGAGCACAGGCGATTCGATCTCTCGGCACCGGACCTGGCCGCGGATCCCCCAGGGTTCGCCGTCGATGTACTCGAGGTCAAACCACGTCGGGTCCTCGAAGTCTTTGTCCTCGAGCCGCAAGGCAAAAGCCTCGTATTCTTTCGCGGTCGCCCAGCGCACGAACTCGGATTCGGGCGCGTAGAAATAGTAACGTGTCTCGTGTCTCATCGTTTTCCTCTCTCAGGCCCGAGGCCGTTGACCCCGAGCGCGGTGATCATTCGTTCTCGAGTCGTTCGCGAAGCCTCGCGATGAGGCGCTCGGCGCGAGCGGGGTCAAGCTCGCCCGCCGCGACCTGCGCGCGCCAGAATTTGACGTCCTTGTGTGACTCGAGGCTTCGGTCTAGGTAGGTCTCGCCGAGCTGTGTCTCGATACGTTCGATTTGCTCCTCGGTGAGGTCGAGCGACTTGGCCCAGACCTGGACGGAGACAAAATCTCGGGTGTCGATCCACGTCTTGGCGCTCACCACCTCCTTGACCAGCAACCCCAGCGCGACAAGCTCCATTGCCGCGACGTCAAGCCCCTGGAGGCCGCCACCCTGGGTGGCAAGGATCGCGCAGCGCAGGAGCTGCTCGACGCGAATGTCTTCTGCCCAGGCGATCTGTTTCTCGGTCCCCTCGAGCGCGGGGAGGCCCTTTCCAAGCTCGGGGTCGATGGTGTCGAGCAGCCACCTTCTGTAAGGGCGCGCCTCATCACGGGGGAGCGCGTCGATCCTCGCGCGTGCCTCGGCAAAGCGCCTCTTCTCTGCCAGGGCGCGGAGCTCGCCCATGACATCCCTGGCGTCGGTCGCGGCCTGGAGGTACGCGATCGCCTCTTCCTCGGTGACCTCTCGCGCGGCCTCGCCACCCTCATAGATCCAGTGGCGGCGCGTGTTGCGTTCCTGCGTCGCGTACACGCCGTGTTCGGTGACAGTGTAGACCTTCTCGCCGCCCTTCCAGGAGCAACGCAAGAAGTCAAAAGCGAGGTAGCGCCCGTTGCTCTTCAGGCCGCATGACGCCATCCAGCTCTTGTGCTTGCGGTGTTTCTCGAGTTCCACGGTCCAGGTCATCTTCTCCTCCTTCTTCGCGAGCCCCAGCGACGCGAGCAGCCACCCCAGCGCATCGACACCTGCGGGGACAAAGCTCGCTGCCCTGGCGCCGCGCAGCGTGTAGCAGACGCCGCGGCGTCCGTTGCTCGTCGTGTACTCGCGGCTGATGCTGATGATGTGCTGGCTCATGGTCTTCTCTTTGGCTCGTTCGTTTCCGTTCCCTCATCTGAGTACAAATCTAAGTGCAAAATGCACGGAGGTCAATAGTTTTTGTGCATTTTGCACAAGAGTCAAAAGGAGAGATGCTTATAAAGCGAGAGGGAGAGGCGCCAACCTCTCCCTCCCCTGGGCTCTCGACCCGGTTCATGCTGCGTGGCGAGCCTTGTATTTGCGGGTGCGAGCCCTGGAGTAGGCTTGTTTCGCAGCGGCGCGCTGGTGAGGAGAGACCATCCATCCCCAGGCGAGTTTCGCGACCTCCCAGCGGCCGTCCAGGAGAGCGGAGCGCAGCTCGCCGTAGAGCTCGCCATCACCGAGTTTCTTGAAGCGTTTCGCATCATCGCCGAGGCCAACGTTGTGGATGCACACGGGACCGATACCCGAGCGGATCGAGTCGGAGTTCGTCAACTCGCGTCCACAGATGCGACACGTGCAGGATGCGCGATACTCGAAGCTGTGCTTTGCGATCCACGTCTCGGGATTCTGCAGGATGGATGCGTGAGCGTGGTAGTGGCTCGTGTTGGTGTCGTGGAAGAAGCTCAAGCCGCCGAGGTCATTGAAGCAAGCGAAGCGCTTGAAGCAGTGCCCCTCTTTCAAGTAGAGGACGCGGACCTTGATGCCGTTCTTCTTGCTGCCCCAGTTCTCGGTCTTGATCTCGTAGGTGCAGAACTTCCCGGATTCGGGGTTCGTGACCGTGACGCAGCCGTTGAAGAGTTCGAGCTCGAATTCGATGTCAGTGTTGGTGTTCATCTCGTTGCTCCGATTCAGGAGACCTCCCGGTTCCTCCGGGTCGGGCCAGTGCATCATCGCCCTGACACCCTTAATTCTAGGGACATCTCAGAACCGGTCAAGACTTCACTTAAAGTTTCTTAAATCAAAACCGAAAATAATTTAAACCTTGCGTGGTTTATTCGGTCTCGAAGCAACCTCCTCGAGCCACTCGCCGATAACAGGATCGAGGGGCACGCGGTGTGTCTCCTCGAATGCACGAGAGGTCTGCATTGAATCAGTTGGAGAGAGAGGAGCGCTCGCAACTCGCCGAGGAGCTCGCGTCGCGTGGCGTCTGCCTTGCTGACGCGCGGCATTGGTACGAGGTCGGCATGACCCCTGGCAGAGCAAAGCCACGGCTCAGGAGGCGCCCAAACACAACATGTCACAAACCAAGAACAAGTTTTTTAAACAACAAACAACACGAGGTCATGTTTTCTCATGGTTCGGGCTGAACGCGGCGCCTCAGACACCCCTGGAGTCGAGACCGAGGTGTGGTTTCTCGGCGATCCTGTGACGCGGAGCGCGTGGATCACGGGCTCGGGGTAGTGCCGCGCGTGGGGATGGCGTGAACGAGCTGCTGTGTGGTTCCTGCGCGTCGTGCCAGACAGCTTCGCATGCTCGGGTGGTACGCGAGGGAGAAAGCAAAAGAGGAGGCAGGTGGCGCGCGGCCTCCTCCTCCTCTTTTCATTTTTCTTTGGCGAAAGTGTCACCAGGGTGTTTTGCGTGACTCTACTAATCGAGCGACGTGGGTCAGCGGATGTTTTTGAAAGCATCGCGTGCCTCGGCGGGGTCGTGGATAACCTCCTCGAACTCGAATGCGCCGCGGACCCAGAAACCTTCGAGTTCGACCTGGTTGACTGTATCGCCAGGAACGAGACGGTAGAAGCGTTGCGAATCCTTCCCGCCGTTCTTTGCTTTGAGGCTGGTGATGACGGCGAGTTCAGTCCAGTCCTCGAGCGTCCCGGTGAGCACTGCTTCGGTCTTGTCGAGCTTCTCGAAGATGCCGTCGTGTTTGATGCGCACCGAGACACCGGGTTTGTTGCCCATGCGTACCGCGACAAGATCTCCTTTCGTCTTCGCGGGGCCTCCTCGAACCGCGATGTAGGCTTCGAGTGAAGCAGGCGTCACCATCCAGCGACCGCCGATCTTGCTGCCAGCCAGAAGCTCGCTCTTGATGGCCTGGACGATGGCCTGGACGGTCACACCCGCGCGCTCCGCGGCCTCGGCGGTGGGGATGGAAAAGCGCGCGGCGAGGACCTGCTCTGCCTCCATACCGACTTCGGCGAGCTGCTTGCGAAACATCAGGTCTCGAAGCATCGCGCCAGCCGGGGATTCCATCACATCAGAAGAGAGACGCGGCGCCCCGTTCTCATCTGGTGCGGTGAACG